CGGCGATGCCCAGGAAGGACTGCAGGGAGGTCTTGCTGCCTGTGGGAGAGGGGGTGAGGGCCGGAGCCGGCGCAGCCCCCTGCCCGCCCAGCCCGCACCGGTTCCACCTTTGCTCTTGCCCTTGTGCTGGTCCGAGAGGTGCTCGGTCCGCGTCCGCGTGATCAGCTCCACATTAGAGGCGCCGTAGACCTGGCCGAAGAAGGGGAAACACCAGAGATGGATCCCCCCTCCAAACCGGCCGTACTCTCCCCAGGAGGCTCAAATCCCCCTGCCCCTCACCTTGGCCTCGTACCCATTCACCATTTCCGTCTTCTCGCTCCTCCAGCCCAGGATCCCGGACTTGTTCCTGGGGGTGACACAGGACACCGTGAGCGATGGATGGTCCCACTAGGACAGCCCAGGGCACGGGCACCCCGGGGGGCCGCACATCCCTGGGGGAGGGGAGCTCGGTGCAGCCCCTAGCCCACCTCTCGAAGGCGATGTTCTTGGTGTCAAGCTGGGTGGTGACGACGGGGGCCGTCAGCCGTCCCATCACCTGCTCCTCAGTGGGCTGCACAGCAGCCAGCAGCACCTACTGGTCGTGGCTGGGCAAAGGCCTCTTTTTCCCGCCGGTCGTGGTCAATCTCCATCACCACCGCGCTGGTGTCTAAGGTGAGGGGGGTCGGCGTACATGGGGACAACCACCATCCCCATCACGTCACCCAGCCCTGCTGCAGCAGCAAGGGGCTCTGCTGGTGCTCCCCAGCCAGGGGGGACACCCCCAGTGCCAGCTCACCTTGTCCCCGAAAGACAAAACTGCGGTTGCCCCGCTGCCAGGTCATATGGTCGAAGCCCAGCAGCGTGGTGTCCACCCGCAGGTTCTGGCCACTCTTCCACACCTTGTAGGTGTCGCTGGGGCAGATCTTGGACACCAGCGGCACTGGGGAGAGACAGCGATAGCCCAGCCAGGGATGGGGCCACCCCGTACCCCCAGGTGGGCTGCCAGCGCTGAGCTCAGTGGGCCACGTGCCCGAGAACCCAACAGCTCGGTGGGATTGGCATCTTCAAGCTTGGGGTGTAAGGGGGCAAGAGGAGAGGCGTCCCCCATCCTGGGGATGGGGCTGGATGCTGGGGCTGGGGGCAGCGCCAGAGATGGGGGAGGCTCTGCTGGGAAACTCCTGCTTCCCCCCACCACGCTCTGCCCCACGAGCTTACCCCAGCTGGTGAACTCCCACTTCATCTCCACGTAGAAGTCCTGAGCCTACGGGAAGCACAGCAGGGTCAGGAGGAACCCATGGCCGGCATCCCCTTCCCCACCCCAGTGGTCCTGCTGGAGGGAGGTACCTTGCGCAGCTTCTCCAGCAGGATGGGGATCCCCGCGAGGCGCTTGATGGCTCTCTGGTAGTCACGGTAGCGCAGGACCAGCTGCACCAGCTCCAGGTCACGGGTGCTCACGGCCTCCTGCAGTACTGCAGGGCAGAGAGGGGCACTGCCCAGGGCGGGTGGCACGGCACGGCACGGCATGGTGTGGCATGGCACAGCAGAGCCGGCCACCGCACTGCAGCCCCATGC